AAGGTGATGACCTGGAACTGCCTTTCCATGCCTGTCATGCCTTCAAAACAACATGATGCTTTGGACAAACTTGAATGGTTTCTATTTTCGTTGTCTTATCGCCAGAGGATAAACATGACTATTACATAACAAACAAACAAACAAACAAACAAACAAAATAGGCTGCTTGGAAATGTCACATTTATAAGTTTTGAAAAAATTTGGGGGGGGGGGGGGGGGGCCTAAATGATCCACGCACTTACCACCTATCTAAACCTTTCGAAACAGACTGCACACCACAAACCATTTATAAAGCTCATAAAATATTAGCCTGGCTCTTCATATTCAGCTGGCCTCTCATTTTACACAATTATCATGCAGTAGTGCTTTTTGGCATTCATAGGCTGTTCCTTGATAATTGTGCATTACAGATTATTGCCAGGCTTTGCAACTGATATCAATTTTGCTTACTTAATAAAATCAGAGATGAGACTGCCATTTAGTGAAACAGTCGGAAAATATTGAGTGGGGTCCTCGAGGCCGCCTAGGCCTGGATATTTTTGGCCCCCAAAAAGTTGGAAATCTGTCAATAGTAAAAAAAAATTCTCATTCCTGTAAAATGTGTCGCCTTGACCAGATTGTGATAACATCAACTGCTAATCAAATTACCTAATTTCTACTTTAAGATTTTTAAAAAATGGGTAAAAAATTCAACAGGAATAAACAAAGAGTATGTTTACAATGTAAAAGGACTGCATAACACAAAAACAGCCTAGTACCATGCCAGCATAATAAACCCATCCTTTTAGTCAAATAACCATATTTTCATTAAATGAGAAAGACAGATATATCCATTAAAAAATTTAAAAAGTATGCATGGCAGTATAATGGAGAGAAAAGGGAAACTTTTTAATTTCACTTTTTTCGTGTATGACATAAAGGGATAACACTTATCAAATGCAAATCAATTGGTCTTGTCAGTTCACAACACATTTAGTAACCAAAGCAAATAAAGCACCAATTTTGCCTTTTACATTGAATGGAGGTAATTGACTGCATGGAACAAGCTGCACTTATTAAGTGGTTTCTGAATTTCTAGGCAATAAATCATCGCAAGGGCGGCTTGACATTCTCCAAGAACACTGTACAAATTCGTTTCCATTCATCACCCTGAAGACATTTGGACTTTTCATTTTGTTCAAGTAATGTGATTTACTTGCCTTTTTAACCTTTTCTAGTTCCTGATTAGGCCAGCTCCCCTGTGTTGAAATGTTACATTCTTACTTTTAGAGAACATTCAAGTATGACAGGTACAAAGTGAATGCTTTAAAACAAGGGAGTTTTTTTCCCCCTTGGAACAGTGAGCATCGAGGGCAACAAAATCCTCTGCTTCTCTTAAAAAACATAACAACAAATTGGCTGCAAATTGGAAATACGCATTCTTGATGGCATAGGCAATTGTGTAAATTCCTAGACGCCCATACTGTCAAGGTAACATTAAATCAGAAAGTTCACAGCAAAAGTTTACAAAAAGTAGGTGGTAAAGCTGGTGTGTTTATACCACATCACTAGGCAAAAGCAATAAGTATAATCTGGATCACTCTCCTTACTACAACAAATGTACCAGGCCGATGGATAATGACCATCTGCTTTTCAAAATATGATTTAATCTCTTTTCTGCATTAAACCATGCATAAAGCATTAAAGTACATGCAAAAGGATCAGCTTTTTATTTCATCAGTACGATATCTTACATGTATTCAACAAGCTGGCAGAAGCTGTACATGTCCAGTCCAGTCCAGAACCTGCATTAAGACTAGTCCACTGATCAAATATGGCCGACCCACTTAAATGCCTGTTGTATAATCCCCACAGGGAGTCTATTCAGTGACTATTAAGGGATGAGATGGCAAACTTTTAAGTGGGTTGTCACATTTGATCCACGAATTAGTTAGTCTGCTGTTGTGAATGCAGCCTAAGACTTTCAATCTTAATGCAGGCACTGGACTTCACTGGACCACTAATAGAACACTTTATATATATATATATATATATATATATATATATATATATATATATATATATATATATATATCACAATATGTTCAGTGATTAATTTGTTAAGAAACGTGGAGAACAAAACTATCTCTAGTTTAACTAATAGCTAATTAACTCTAGTTAAACTATTTTCAAATTTATCAATTTATAAGGGTTAGTAATTCTTAAAATAAATTGATAAGGGTTAGTAACTTTTAATCAAAATTTTTGTTCATTTTATGATTTATTAGTTATACTTAAGATGATGAGATGGGACAACCTACTGCTTAATAAAACACACACTGAAAGAAAAAATTGACATTTCCTAATGCTGTTCTTTTACATAGCTACACACACAGTGCCATGGGGTGTCCATGCTATAAGAGTTCAGTGCCAAGGGCATCTTTGATGCAGTTAATATAACTCTCCACAAGTACATTAAGACTTAAACACATTAATTAAGCAATCACAATAGTTGCAGCTGTGCCTTAAAAGGCATCACTTTAGTAATTCATCGGGTAATTTTACTTCTAAGTGCATCTTTGATGGGGAAATTGTTTTAACGCGCCATAACAGCTCTAGATAAAAGTTATCCTATGTTTTATACCATTTCTTATAAATCAATAATTTAGTTCTAAATGGCTGGCAAGTTACTTACACTGTCATGTCTTCTTGCATATTTCATAAGGAAATATCAACATTAGTTACTTATGTTTGAGAGGTTTTATCATCTTAAAGGTTTGAATTGAGGAAGATAAGTAGTTTTGCCGTAAAATATAGACTTAGAAAATAGACTTTGGGACATTTTCAAAAGAGGATAGCATACCTTTAACATTCAGAGTAACAGTGAGTATTAAAATTCTTTTCAAAGTGATGCTTAGATATTGGTTATTTTAGCAAGCACTTTTGGCATAATCAAATCAAATAACACGGTACACTTTTTAAAAGCAACTGTAATAGGTAAAGTTAATTATGATGACAGATAGTGGAACGCTTTCTCACATCATAACACGAAAGACTTTGTATACCGAGGTTGGAGATGCTAGAAATGGTGTTTTATTTAAGTTCAGGAGACAGCAAGATCAACAAGCCAACGTATGTCTGACTACAGTGAGGCCATGAGAGAAGACATTGCACACTTGAGACGGTAGAATTGTCTGAGGAGGTCTTATAAAAAAAATCTGAAGAACTGCTTCAGTTTACATAATATCCTTCTTTACTGCTGACAATTTCATGATCTTAATGAATGGGAATGAGTTCTGCTAGAACCCAATGAGACCTCTTCCTAATTCTCGATGAGCACATTCATCATCAAAAGGTCACGTTTTTGCTCATCAAAATGATATATATCCAGTGTACAATGTGCAGATCACATTCTGCTTTCTTTCATCCTGTGATTTTTCACAAAAAATCTCTTTTATCTTTTTTTTTTTAGACATTCCATTAGATGTACTATTTATTAATGAAATCTGTGTGCTCTTGAAGGCAGGAATTCTGCCACCTTTCTATTTATGAAACTGCCTTCGTTTAAATAGAATGCATAGATTGGTGTCAAACCAATAATTGAATTCCCCAAAATTTATGATATAGATAAAAGGGCAAATGAATCATTGGCTTATAACGGCTGACCTTCCAACACAATTTATAAGATACATCTAATTTAAAACTATTATCTCATCTACCAAATACACTGCTATTATCATATTGTACATTCTATGTAAATTGGGCCTCCAAAACAAGGGGTGTCAAATCAACAGTTGCTCTAATTTGTGCGCTTATTAATAGTAATCTTATACTGGTATGAGAGAATAATTGGTAGTGTTGAAAGAATGGCTCCAGTTTTAACTTGCATCTAACAAGCCTGCTAAATACAAACAAGATTAATTATTCTAATAATCCCTAATGTTGAACAATTAGTCATTTCACCTAAGAGGCCATTTGCAAAGGTTAAATAATGGCAACCTGCCCAACCAAGCAAATTTTGTTTTATCTTGGAAACATTCAAGTTGATATGTAACAATGCAAATATTTTTCTCACCTATTAAGAAGATTTGTGGACTCGCCTATGTCATAACGGAATCTAACACAAAAAGACTAGACCGAGATGAAGAGGGAACATTTCGGACCTCACTGATCAGTATAAGCGCACACTTGAGTGAATCACATTTATTCCCACAAAACCTCCAGTATAAAATGAGACTTGCAGATTTCAGGCTTAATTTCACTAAAGAGATTGGATTCACACCTTGCTGTTTGGTACCTTCAACTTGCACAGTAAATGACACAGGTGCTGGAAATCAAACCTTGTTAGACTTTCAATGAGTGTTTACTTTAGCATGCATTGGTGGATGCCTTTCAAACCTTATTCATATTTTGTGCATAAACAATGAAACAATCTTTCTGGAAGGTTTTCCATAGACAAAATGTAAATATCATAAGCATTAACATGCAGTCATCATGGTCAATTGCAAAGGCATTGAACTCTAGTTGCTCAATTTTTGATTTTTATTTGCATAAAAAATTCAATACAACGCTGACCAAGTCTCTCTCTCTCTCTATTGACACAACGGCAAAGCTTATTAAACTTAGCATACATCACCATCTATAATATACATAACATAAACAATAGCACCTGAAGGAACAGGAAGGAAAAAGGACATGCTACCACCAGGGTTTAACTTAACACTTGAAAGTGGGACATAACTACAAAATGTATATTAATCATTTGCAGGAGTGAACATAAGTCCCAATTCTGGTCATATCCATAACACAATACAAAGAGGCAAAACCCTGCCCTGAATCTATATTCTCATGAGATGAGGTCTACTTGCTGCTTACTACTAAAGGCAACCTGAACTTTTTATAACAATATTTGTGAGAGTGCTTCTGAACGCTGAGACCAGTTCCTTTATAATAAATGCCTCAAGTTAAAAATGCTGCAACACCTTTAAAAAAGACTACCTTTAAAAATAGACTTTTATTACCTTTAAGTTCTAGTATTTCCATCCTCTGTCCCTCCACATCACGCCCAACAAACTTCAAACCGTGGTTTTCCATCTCGGATACAAGACTTGGGTTGACCTGCAAATAAGACAGAAAAACACCCTGTCTAAATTCATCACAGCCGTAATACAATAGGCTTTTAGGGTTCACCTTCTTTAATTACAAATGAATTCCAGGTCTAACATTAAGCTATCTCAAAAATCTTGGAATCAGTCAATCAAAACCTATCAGTCAAGGCTGAAAGCTCAGCGGCAAAGGAAAGCCAACCTGATGCCCATAATCAATTTTTAATATTTCCCTTTACTCTGATTAATCAATCTCTCTGATTCTTCATAGTAAATTGGGAAACTCAATTAACTCAAATTATTCCACAATGGGGGGAAAATAAAAACTTAAAAGCTTTGTCAGAAACTAATGAATGATGCAGTAAAAAATTCTAAATCCACCTCGTATCTGTGTCGGTGTCTCTCCTCAACATAGTCTGGGTTGCCATACAATTTCTCTGAAAAAAAAAAAAAAAAACCTTTAAGGGCATGTTTGTATTATAAACACATCATAAACAAGGCAAAACACTGCCATTCCACCAGTGAACAGTAATATTTATCTAAATATCATCACATTTACAAACATTGTGAAAAAAAATCTGATGATATTGCTCCCTCAAGTGCATGCTGACATTTCAGGTCTAAACATTTTCTGAAGTATTATGAATCCATGGCATAAGAGCCATATAAAGATGCTTTGATTAATTTACTACAACAAAAAGTTATTGGAACAACTACTGTGTTAAAATCAAGGACTAATACTTTGAGGAACTATACTGGTGGCTGAATTATTTTTACACTTAAGAAGCACAAGTTTAAAATAATTAATGGTCCACTTGGGTCGATTGATGCCTACATATCACTGGGATCGCTGGCTGACTTTACGAGCTTATAACTTTAATAGCTTATAACAGAGGAGAAGGATGACAAATTTTAACTTGTCTGCACTTGGTGAACTCGTAAAAACTGTCAAATTTATCCTCACCTTATGTCCTATCAGACAATTTAGAGATGGCACTCAGTGCAACTCGATACCCAGCAGAATAAACAAATATATTGCAAGTCAAAAGCAAGCAGTGGAATCAAATCTAAGATTATCTTTAACGACTAAACCTCCACAATGATGCAAAAAGTGCTCCATGTTTTACATTGTTTTAACAATGACATTCAGACAGGTTTAACCCAAGCTATCTGACATTTTGGTCTGAAAATGCCAACCTGATATACATGTCACTGAACCTTTTATCTTGACATAATCCTTATATTTTTTGCAATCTTTTTTTTTCTAATATGAACATGCAGCAAAAGGTTGAGAGGCAGCAACGGTGACTTGTATCCCACGACACCCTGCGGAGCCAACGGAGCCGACGGAGCTCACGGAGCCGGCGGAGCTTACGGAGCCGTACGAGACGGGTCGAGACTAAAACCATGAGTACCGCCAGCGTACACGCTGGTGGTACTAATAATACAGAATGTGGTTCTCTAGGCTGCAGTTTATGATTTCAATGGAATTTGGTTGCCTGTGCCAAACATTGGCATATATATGTGCCAATACAGGGCTGATTGAGGCGGTCTTCTGGGTCTTCCGGAAGACGGTCAAATTTGTAAGTTTACATTGATGAGTACCTAATTTTTTCTGTCGGAAGACAGTCAAAAAATGGAGGATGGATCAACAAAGATAATGTGGAAGACTGTCAGAAATATCTCTGGATCTGCCCCTGCAATATGTTTCTTTAAAAGTTGTCCAACTTACACACTAATATATTAAATATATCAACATTTGTATTTCATTCATTTATATACTTTTGGGCCAAATGTGTAATTCTAGCCATAAGTCATAAATAGTCGCCAAGTCTCTCTCTATCATTAGCCTACATTACAAAAGATTACAAAACTTGACCATCACCATTTATAACATAAATACTATTTTAAGGAACAGGAAAGAAAAGGGCATGTGCTTCCATTAGGGTTAACACACCAAAGTGGGACATAATTACAAAATGTATAGTCATTTTCTGCCACCTACTGAGTATAGAACTTTGCTCCACAAACTCTGTCCTCCTCTTGCCTAGCCTCATGGTACCTCCCATGTGTCCAGGGTTATGCTCTGGCATCTCTATCACCTGGAAAACAGACAATTTTTTTTCTTAGTCAGATGTAATGTTTTATCTAAGTACACACAACAAACGAAGTTAATGATTTTTTTCTCTTTAGATTATAACTCTGAAGGTGCTGTTGTGGTCATTCTCAAAATGAAGACATTTCACATGTAAAAAAAATTCACTTGTTTTTTTATTTTTATTTTTTTTGTATGTAAGTCAGAGAAAAAGGTGGTAATCAATTTCATCTGTTTTCCAAACAATTGAGTAACTCAGATATTCATTTCACTACAGGAGTCCCCTATGGTTATCATGACAAAATAATACAAAGTAAACCTTACAAAAATGAAAACTGTTACATGTAAATAAATATATATGACTTTGTGAGATACACTTACAAAGACACTTGGTATTTGACAGTGAGATAATAAAAAGATTCATTGCAAGATTAATATCCCATTCTGGGGTATCACTACCAATTTTTTTTTAGCTTAGCCAAATGACTATTTATTCAACACTTTTTTTCTCCAAATGATTTAAATTTGACCAAAACGAGTCAAATCAATCCAATTTTATTTACCTAATGAAAGTCTGTTTTAGCGTTTTGCTACATTGGCAAGTGTTATCGTTAGCACCGCCATTAGTATCATTGCAGTAGAGACTTACCACTGGATGTGTTGTATTCTTGTCAAACTCTGTGGAATTAGCATCTTTCCAACCTACCACATTTCTACAGAATTCTATCACAGCACATTGTAAGCCTAAACACACTCCTGGATGAGAATATAAAATTGTTACTGCATACAAACTTTAGATCTCAACTAAAGCAATGTGCATTTGTAGGATGCACATTGTAAAGAAAGTCCAAATCTTAATGAGAATTATAAGGCTTAGAAAAAAACGTTAATTGTAATAATGTTGAAAATACTAAATAATACTAATGAATCATGAATTTATAGATGATAATATGTTACTGAAGGGAAATTTCCTCTCTTACATTAAATGCAACCGACATAATATTGCTTACCAAGGAAAGGTTTGTTCATTCTTCTGGCCCAGTTGGATGCCATCATTTTCCCTTCTACTCCTCTCACTCCAAAACCACCTGGTACAAGAACACCACTGAAATTACATGTGAAAGCATTAAAACACAGTGCCATAGAATAGACCATGGTAAAATAGTAATGCTTTAAGGATAGTGACAGTAATGATGATTTTAATGGTCAGTTGACCATAACATTCAGGGGAAAAATTGTTGATATTAAATATAAGGTCCACAATAGCTTCTAGTGTAAATGTGACTTTTTTTATTACAAAACCAAGCTCAGGTTTCTGAAAGACACTGGTATTATCAATTTTATAGAAACAAATTTGCCTGTACATATAAGTCCAAGTTAAATGACAAACTTTTAAACAAAAATTGACTTCAACTTCACACCAAAATCCAGAGTCTAATGGTCATATCAACTTACTCGCTACTACAAAGATTCTGCCATGCTTCATGGTATTTCACTGGATGATCATGCTGAGTGCTCTGTTCTAGGTCTGAAGCCTCAATGTACTGCAAAGTGGAACATTACAACAATATTGAGATACTTCTGATAATATATTTCACCTCATATCAATATGCACGCTCTGCCATGTGAAAAAGAGTTGTTTATTCAATGTGAAAATACAATTAAGTGTCATGTTAAGTCTGGTCTTACAAAACAAGACTTTATTATTATGAAAGCTCCTTACTTTTACTTTGAGTTTATGATTGACGGCAAGGGCAGAATGCTGGAGAGCCTTCAGGACTGAAGCATAGGAATCTTCCAGGTCTGTGTACTTCCCCACTAGAGCTATGGTAACTTCCTTGTGCAACCTGTCACACCTGCAATGAACAGACAAAATACATGACATAATCATTACATCTCAAATATTTTTAACCACAAGGGAAATGCATCCAATATTACATATTCTTTCTTTTGGGAAGGCAAAATTTGATAAAATTACCTATATGTCTTGATAATGATGTTGCCTTGGTAACAAATTGCTCATTACCCCAAACTGTAACAGGTGAGAGTAAAGGAATCTTTACTCCTTTTGTTGCATGATTGACAACAAACCTGATCCAGCAGTTTGCATCAAGGTGTGACCCACTACCAATTTCTATGATAAACTACTCTGTAATGCTAGACTTCACTTGGCTGCTTTGTATTCAGAACAATGTATATACATTCTTCTCTCAACAGCATTATATTAAAATATATGAAAATATTTACCTACTCAAATATAATAATTATCTATATCTAGTTACAGGAAATTACCTCACTCGCCCTGAGGAAATTTAGCAGAAATATATGAGCAAATAAAAAAACTTTAGTGGGTAAATATCATATCTTTGACCATAATATGGTACATATTTTGTATATGAAATTGACAACCTGAGTGTATACATTGGAATACTTGTACTGTGTTTTTCTTTTCTTTCTTTACCTTTCTGCGAGTTCTCTCCAACTGAGCAGCAACTTCCTGGGAACTGGATCTGGAATGGGGAGGTGGAGGCGTTTTCTGAAGTATGGGAGAAGGTTCTGCTCCTCCAGTTGGAGGGGAACTCTGTACAAGTTTGTAACATCATGGACACCGATCACCTAAGGCATGGAATAACAAAAGTTATATAAATTTTATAAAACTGGTTTAAAATAAATTAAAATAATAAAAATTCATATTTTATTGAATTATTACCAAGGAAAATCAATAACTTAAGAAAGACCATGTTTTATTACATAAAGAATTACAAACAAAGCTAGTTCACAGTTTAGAATGCAGTATGGTAGTTAGCACTTGGGAAATGTGTATATTGATAAAAACGTAACCACTAATTAAAAATAAATTTTAATAATAATTATAAAATAATAGTAATAAGTATTTCTTAAAGCACCTGTTTGCTATGTGTCTTAGGATTTTGTACAATGAAACATATTGTTGATAAATGATTAAAGATAATTGTTAAAATTATGCCTTTTACATGTCTCCAACAGACATACAACCATCACAAAGGCAGTGAGATAAATTGACACATTCACTCTACACTTTATAACTCATCATGCTGCTGTTTCATTAATGTCACTAACATGATAAAAAATTCAGACATATTGCTCAGCTTGCAGTAACAACTTCATACAGAGTAAATATGCAGGCTGCTATAATTTCTCCATACAAAGTTCATCTTTCAACAAAGAATGTAAAAATAATTCCTCACAAATACACAATATGATTCAAAGTTTTTTTATCTTACAAACTGAACAAAATCTTTTTGATATTTATCTAATTCTGAGTGGCGAATAAAGGAGGACCAGTGCCATTTCAATTACTAAATAACTGATAATTACTCATCCTACCTGTTGTGGAGCAACTTGGCAAAACATGGACAATTTGTCAATCACAGACTGAGACAGTTTACTGGTACTTCTGGCAGCAATCTGAAACACAAACAGATGAGTGAACAGTGAAATAAGTGAGAATATGCATGTTTCTGTACTTCCACTCTCTATTCCATAAAAGGCTGCAATCTAAGATGGTGAACTGTGACATGGTGGAAATGGACTGCACACCAAGTTCTGTCGTTATTTTTTGTACCAAAATTTATCTGTTCAATTATCACTGGAGTGAGAACAGCCTCATACTTCACTCTGATTCACCTTCAACCACCATGACATCTTTATAGTAGATCTTCATAGATGCATCATTATGATAACTTATTTATTTATTAAAGATCTTTATGGTGAATTGATATGAATCTTCAACCACCAAAATGTTTCAAAAGGATAAACTTAAGAGAGTCATCTAAATTAATTTACATGATATATAAAGCAAAGATTATTTCTTATGGAATTCTAAATATCTTTTTTAACACTACTAAGTACAAGAATAAAACATCAAAGGAACTCATTATTAGGAAGATCATACATGCATGCAACAGAGGGGGGGGGGGGGAGGCAAAACCAGTAAAGCACTTGGTTTACATCAATATTCCAATACATTTACTTATAAAACAATTGTGTCGTGTTAAAAAAAATGTCTGGTATATGTTATTCACTCACCAAATCAGGAGACAGTCCTAGTCCTCTCAGCTCCCTCACACTATTCTGAGTGGGTTTGGTCTTCTGTTCACCGGTTGTTTTGGGCTACAAAATATCATTGTAAAAATGAAATCACTGCCATTAAATTTTAGTCATATAATCTAGTGAAATACAATAAAAGTCAGATAAGTTTGAATTACAAACTTATAAGCATTTGATACAAACTAAATTACACCAGTACTTCAATTGATGAAGGAACTATTAAAAAATTTTTTAAAAGTCCTTTAACAGATTTGCTTTCCCATAAAATAAATTTAAGTGTAAATGCAACTATTCATGGCAAGCTGAGTACTTAGCTAACTCACCGATGGCACTAAACTGACGTGGATATTGCAGAAATTCTCCCTTTTTGCCCTGAACTGAAACTGACGGAATGCTTCCACAAAAGGCATTCCTTCTATATCCCCTATTGTACCTCCAAGCTGGAAAAGAAGTATACTGGTATATAGGATAGGATTATCTTATTATCTTATCTTATTATCTTATTAAAACCATAAATCTCACATGAAAATAGCTGTACGATCAGACAGAAAATATCACCAAGAGACTGAACACTGACCACATTAGGACAGCTAGCTTTTGCACTTTCAAATTCTTTAATTAAAAGATCAAGGCACATTTTTTTCAAAATCAACTTGAAAACAGTAAAATCATTTCCTTAATCCTACGAGCCTGCTGCCTTACCTCTACTATGCAGACTTCAGGCTCCTCCCCCTCACCATCTACAGGGATTTTTGCCACTCTCTCCACCCATTCTTGAATAGCATCTGTGATGTGTGGGACAACTGAAATAATATACATCGATATAGTACATAATTTTTAATTTGTATATATAAAATTTGCAATCTACATATAAAAGACAGAGGATCATGTGTTGTTCCTCTTATTCTTCATAATTTTAGTCCTTATAGAAAGTAAAAGAACCAGGCGGATGATGGAAATGACTAAATTGTTTAGCACGTTTTTTGAAAATGTGTGTAAAAAGTGTATCTGATTGCAAAAAAATTTCAACAGTTACAGTATTGCATTCTGCAAAGCAATGACTTAAACATATATAACTTTCTAATTTTAGGAGAACCGCTGTTTGAAATATGTGCTCCAAAAAATTTAGGCACTCTTTTAAAACCCAATTTTTTCACTGTATCCTTATTCTGCCTTAGGCTAGCAGATGACACAAAAATGACAGACAAAAAAAAAACTTATCCTATAGCAAGTAAACAACCACCTAAATTCAAGTATCATCATCAACAACTGACATCTTATTATTCAATGAATTCACATTTATACTTTTAAACCACTGAAATAAATGAGTCACATATAAAATTGTGCAGAAATATATATTGGCAAAATGTAAGCAATGCCTGAAATATACACTATTTGTACCATAATTTTATCATTATTCATATATGTTTGATAGTAAAATTGGTGGCTGTACATTCATAAAGATTACAAAAAGTTCCTACATCCGTGTATATTGAGGTGTACTGCCATTTTAGCTGAAATACTGGTTATAACCTAGATTCATTTTGATAGTTAGTGTAGCGGTGCACTTCCTCAGCAATCCAGTACAACAACGCTGTGCTTTCTTTTTCATAAATTTAATAGGTTAACGATATATAAGCTACTAAGCAGTGCACAAGCTGCTCAGCGTCTGCTACGCCGCCATGTTTCTTTTCCCCCTCGACGTTACCCCGGTTTATGCACACCGGCACTATATTTACCCCGTTACATGCCTCCCTGGGCAGATAAGACTCGTCCCGAATCTCCAACCTAGTAACTACCGATTATAACTAAGTCCCAACACACTAAATCAACACTGGGTCTAAATCCTTGAAAAAGTTCACAACATTAATATCAACACTAT